ATGATACTGACAGATTTCACCTTACACGATGTAGATCTGGATGCTCCACTGATTAGACAAACTTTTTTTGATACTTCTCAGATGGTTATAATAATGTTGACTGATACTATTTTTTTGCCATGGGTGGTTCATTGTATCTCACAATGTCCAGGGTTTCAATTCCCCAAATAAGCGCAAAACTGTCTTCCTCCAGTATAGATGCCTAGGGGCGAAGATTATTTTATTACAGGAATCTAACTTTGTAGCCTCTAAACATCCCACATATTTTCACAGATCTTACAAGCAGGGGTTTTACACCTTACATTCTACTAAAAGCAGAGGCGTAGCAATTTTTCTTCAACTCGTTTCCCTTTGACGCTCAATATGATCATCGTGACCCTGAAAGCAGAGCCATTTAAGGAGGAGGAAAGAGGTGATGCGGGATGATGGGGATGAATTACTATAGGGGGGATGAATTACTATAGGGGGGATGAATTACTATAGGGGGGATGAATTACTATAGGGGGGATGAATTACTATAGGGGGGATGAATTACTATATGGGGGATGAATTACTATATGGGGGATGAATTACTATGGGGGATGAATTACTATATGGGGGGTAAATTACTATATGGGGGATGAATTACTATATGGGGGATGAATTACTATGGGGGAATATTACTATACTTACTATGGATGACACATACACATCATTCATCTACTCTTGGTCCGGCCCCCGGGTCCAATATATGAACCCATTGCGGCCCTCAAGTCAAAAAGTTTGCCCACCCCTGGTCTAAGCCGATTCCGACCCCATGCATTCTTTTCCCTGTTTGTTTTCCTGGATGTCTGTGGTTATAGCCATACACTGATTCTAGGCAGTGAACAACCATGTTTACACATTGTATCATCTCACTATAACAACTCATTGCTAGTTTATTACAATTGTAATACATCACTATTGTTTTCACAAGGTACAAAAACAGTGGTTTTCTCTAAATCAGCATAAGCCCTGCCTGTTAAAGTGTATGCAAATCCCACACATTTTTTAGCTCTGGATAGATTGTGGCATGGTTAGTTTCCTGTTTAGGTTTTTATTGCTGTCTGTGTCCCCACTATGACTATTGGCCCTCACTATTGGTGATCATTGTCTCTGGCACAGAAAGCGATGGGCAATCCATAATTTTAGAGTTGTCATAAAACCAGGGGGTGAGGGAAAATCTTCCACTGGGGAAACATGTTTTAGTGACTACTGTCTAAGAGGGGATATCCCTTCTTTTGGACAGATTACTACCTGCTGTGTAGGGAAAGGAAGTGACATTAAATATTGCAGACAGAACACAGACAGCAAAAAATGCATTGCAGTGCATCACAAAGTTGTTTCGGCCCTTACAGAATACTTGATATGGTGTGTCAGAGTTATGATATGGTGATGTGGTGTTTTACAAGGTTGAAATATGCAATTAGGAGGTGACATATCACCTCCCCTCTGCCTGGCGAACGCCTCTGAAAAGCAACCTGACCGCAAAGTGCTTTTTAGAAGCACGGCAATCTTGTCTCACATCTAAACCTAGACATATACACTGCTCAAAAAAATTAAAGGAACACTTTTTAATCAGAGTATAGCATTAAGTCAGTTGAACTCCTGGGATATTGATCTGGTTAGTTAAGTAGCAGAGGGGGTTTTTAATCAGTTTCAGCTGCTTTGGTGTTAATAAAATTAACAGGTTCACTAGATGGGCAACAATGACACGAACCCCCAAAACAGGAATGGTTTTGCAAGTGGAGGCTACTGACATTTTTTTTCCCTACTCATCTTTTCACTAGTTTTGCATTTGGCTAGTGTCAGTGTCACTACTGGTAGCATGAGGCGATACCTGGACCCTACAGAGGTTGCACAGACAGTCCAAACTCCTGCAGGATGGCACATCAATATGTGCCATTGCCAGAAGGTTTGCTGTGTCTCCCAGCACAGTCTCAAGATCATGGAGGAGATTCCAGGAGACAGGCAGTTACTCTAGGAGAGCTGGACAGGGCTGTAGAAGGTCAATCCATCAGCAGGACTGGTATCTGCTGCTTTGTGCAAGGAGGAACAGGATGAGCACTGCCAGAGCCCTACAAAATGACCTCCAGCAGGCCACTGGTGTGAATGTCTCTGACCAAACAATCAGAAACAGACTTCATGAGGGAGGCCTGATGGCCCGACATCTTCTGATGGGCCCTGTGCTCACTGCCTGGCACCATAGAGCTCGATTGGCATATGCCATTGAACACCAGAATTGACAGGTCCACCTCTGGCACCCTGTGCTTTTCACAGATGAAAGCAAGTTCACCCTGAGCACATATGACAGATGTGTGAGGGTCTGGAGAAGCCATGAAGAACTTTAACATCGTTCAGCATGACCAAGTTTGGTGGTGAATCAGTGATGGTCTGGGGAGGCATATCCATGGAGGACTCCCAGACCTCTACAAGCTAAACAATGGCACCCTGACTGCCATTAGGTATCAGGATGAAATCCTTGGACCTATTGTCAGACCCTACACTGGTGCAGTGGGTCCTGGTTTGCTCCTGGTGCATGAAAATGCCCGGCTTCATGTGGCAAGACTATGCAGACAGTTCCTAGAGGATGAAGGAATTAATACCATTGAATGGTCCCCACGCTCGCCTGACCCAAATCCAATAGAACACCTCTGGTCCATCCGACACCGCCAGGTTGCACCTCAGACTGTCCAGGAGTTCAGTGATGCCCTGGTCCAGATGTGGGAGGAAATACCCCAGGACACCATTCGTCGTCTCATTAAGAGCATGCCCTGACATTGTCAGGCATGCATATAAGCACGTGGGGGCCATTCAAACTAGTGAGTACCATTTTGAGTTGCTGCAATGAAATTTCTGCAAAATGGACTAGCCTGCTGCATCATTTTTTCACTTTGATTTTTGGGGTGTCTTTAAATTCTGTCCTACTGTAGGTTGATAATTTTGCATTTCCGTCAAACAATGGGGCATCCTTACGTTCCTACCCAGTCCATATCTATATAGATATCCAGCATGAGATTTTTCCCCATTGAGGTCTGATGTGTTTTCAAAAAGTTTTTTGAGCAGTGTAGTATTCCACTTGTGCAGGGAGATTGGAGAGAAGGGCAGAGGACCTTAACCAGCAAAGACAAAGAGTAGTTAAACACTTCCTGAAGAGGAGAGGACTGTGACATGCAAGAAGCAAGGGGGCTGTGCTGGGGAATTGGTTAGGCAAGTCCAAGATACCCTGCAAGTGAATAAAAATTATTTGTGGAAAAGAAAATTACTGGAAGTAATAATTTTAAATACTTGATTTTTCTGTGCTTTTACATCCATTTAAAAAAAAATGGTGACCAGGATCATTTTAAAGCCAGTAAACAGATAGATTAGTATCTGTTGATAATTGCCAGCGCTTTAAGAGAAGAATGCAATATGTCTACAAGCAGAATGACCTTTAATTTTGAGTTTTTATGTGGTGTGTATAAATTGAGTAACTTTTTGCTTTAAGTAATTTTAGGCTGCATGTTTGGCCTATTTTTTTTTCCCCACTTTGAATGGACTTGTACTTGACCAAAAAATAATATAGAAAATTATTTAAATACTCAAATGCAGAAATGTTATACATGATCATATATGTTCTATGTATGTACATACACAGGTGTAGTTAGTGATATAAAATAGAACTCTACCGTACTTATTTATTTTGTTTTGGGGTGTCCATGGGTTTATATGTAGTAAATTCTGTTCTGAAAAAAAAAAAAAAAAAATCTTACATGACTGGTATAAAATGTCTCAAATGTTTTTCAAAGTTCATTGCTACTGAATAAAATCCATTGATAGGTTTATAATAGGGATGCACTGATACCGAGTATTTCCATGAGTACTCGTGAAAATGCTAACAATACCGAAAACCGATACTTTGCAGTGTGATTTGCATCAATACAAATTGCACCGCAAAGATTAGCATGCGCTTTGAACTGGAATGCGATTCATGCCCAAATGTGGTTTCCCCACTGCTGCTCTTGAACCCAGGCTTGTCATAGCCTGAGTTCAAATGGGAGTGGTGCGGGAAACCTCCCTGCAGGGATCCCAGGCTGTGCGGAGAGTGGGATAGAGGGGAGATGTATATTATGGAGGCAGATGCTGCAGTAGGAAAGGAGAAAAAGTGGCAGGGATTTGAAATCCCCACCACTTTCTTTTCTCTCCTTGCAGGGATGACAGTTTGGGCTAGAGGGCTTTTGACTGGTCAGAACCGTCAAATGGAAAATCAGATGCCGTCTAGCCCGTACTGTCATCGCTGCATGAAGAGGAGAGAAAGCCATGGGGAGTTCAGATCCACAGACCTGTGAAGCGGCTTTCTCCCCTCTTCCTTGTAGTGATGATAGTACGGACTGGACAGCATCTGATTGGTCAGCACGTCCACGGGTTCACACTGGAGCAATGGGGAAACCGCATGCATTTTGGACAGGAATCGCAATCCTGTTCAAATCGCATGCTATTCTTTGCGATGCTATTTGCGTCCATACATAAATCTCACTGCAAAGAATCGCCATCAGCGCGAGTACTTGACCAAAAGTATCGTACTCGGTGCATCCCTACTTTTAACTAATGACAAATTTTTCACAGAATCAGATTTTTGTTTTTAAGGAAATTTTTGAAGAGAAACTTGGTAGCTGTCAGTTTTGACTTCTTTCTGCAAATGCTATTTGCCTGGCTGTCTTTCTGGCCCCTTGCTTCAGTAGTTTACCAACCCAGAACAAGTATGCAGATAAAGACTTCTGATTCTTCTCTGACTTTATTGTTGTGCATACTTATACAACCTGTGATTTCTAAAGTACTGAAACCAGTGAGTCTGCATAAAACCCAGGCAACTGCATTTTCAGAAAGAGCTTAGCAATGGCAGCTCCTCTATTTTCCTCATGAAAAGTTTTACTATGTGGTATTTTAATTTCAACAAGTGTTACATGGATTTGTTAATGCTTTTCTATTTCTGTGTCTTCTAGACAGTGCAGTTTGTTCAGGGAATTTTTGTAGAAAAATATGATCCCACTATAGAGGATTCATACAGAAAGGTAAGTTAACAAGAATCTATGTAACTTAAATATACAATTTTTGTTTAGCGATTAAAGTGTTTAACTTTTACAAAAAATGAAAAAAAAAACAACTTGCACTCTCCTCATGCCTCCAGTCCTCGCACTTACCTTTGTGGATGATTAGCTGTCACTACCCATGCAGTCGGTGTAGCTGTCTGGGGATTTGAAATTCCAATAATTCTTCCCCCTTTTCTGTAGAACGTCAAGGACGGATCAGAATTACCTTATTTTTCGCTCCATAAGATGCACTTGACCATAAGACGCACCTAGGTTTTAGAGGCGGGAAACAAGAAAAAAAATATTCTGAACCAATGGACTGCAGGGGATGACCAGAGACGGCGGACAGTACACTGGATGACCAGAGACGGCGGACAGTACACTGGATGACCAGAGACGGCGGACAGTACACTGGATGACCAGAGACGGCGGACAGTACACTGGATGACCAGAGACGGCAGACAGTACAGGGGATGACCAGAGACGGCAGACAGTACAGGGGATGACCAGAGACGGCAGACAGTACAGGGGATGACCAGAGACGGCAGACAGTACAGGGGATGACCAGAGACGGCAGACAGTACAGGGGATGACCAGAGACTGCAGACAGTACAGGGGATGACCAGAGACTGCAGACAGTACAGGGGATGACCAGAGACTGCAGTCCTTTGGGGAGGGAGGGGGAGCGGGTACCTGAATTTGACAGTTGTCCTCCCTTTAGTGTGGGCCCCCGGCTGATAGCCGGGTGCCCACTGAGCATGCGCGAGAAGCGCTACGCTTTGTGATTGGTCCGGCGTCTTCTGGGACCTGTCATGTGTCCCAGAAGACACCATACCATTCACAAAGCGCAGCGCTTCTCGCGCATGCGCACTTGGCACCCGGCTGTGACAGCCGAGAGCCCACACTAAAGATACCGGCGCGGGAAGACTGTACAGCGCTGGACCGAGGAACAGGTAAGGTTCTACTGCAGAGAAGAGACGAGCGGCCTGCCTGGTATTCTGACATGGTGGCGGCGGCGGTGGGAATACCGGAACGGCCGCTCCATAAGACGCACTGACATTTTCCCCTCTTTTTTGGGGGGAAAAAGTGCATCTTATGGGGCGAAAAATACATTATTCAGTTTGGCCAAAGGGTCGCATGCCAGCCCTGATCAATCTGAATCACTCTGATCTGTCCCAGAAGCCCTACAGAAAGAAGGGGAAGAAGAGCAGGGATTTCAACCACCTAGGCCGTTACACTAGCTGTGTGGGCAGTGACCCACAAAGATAAGTGCAGTGAGTACCGTGGGGAGGGAGTTAGGGTGTTCACCTTTTTAAAGTGGTTGTAAAGTCTCATGTATTAATTACTTTGATTCTCTCTGTTTTTTGTCCCTGTTTAGTGTGTGTTTGTTTTTTCCTAAAATTATAATGCTAAATACCTTCTTTGCAGAGCCTTGCTGTACTGTCATGTGACCTCCCTCTTCTTTCCTTCCCTATGTAAGGAGATTAGAGTAAGAGTACAGCGGGAGGGACTGAGATGAATGCAAGCTGGCAGAGGGAGGTCACATGTCTGCACAGCAGGACTCTACAAAGGTTTTATGGGGTTTTTTTTGTTTTTTTTAAATCGGTTAATTTTTATTCACCAGATTTTTACAAAGACACAAAGAAAAGTAAAAAAAAATACAAAAACTACACAGAAAAAAAATTAAAAGGAACAGTACACTTAACATTGAAAATGCGAAACATAGGATCTAGGCGGATATGCAGAACAGGTACATAGCACCATTCTACCATATCGTGCAATACATATGAGACACTCTGCAGTCATCAGAAAAAAGGAAAGGCTAACCACAGACAGTATCCAATTAGACGAACCAGAAGTACTAAGGTTATCTTGCTAATTTCACCCTCCACCCCTATTTCATGTGAACTAAGCACATAACACATTAGTTATACCTTTACTGTCAATCATCCACCGTGTTGTCCTGAGAACCAGAGATGTGGGAGGTATTATTGGAATCCAGCCACCAGGACCATATTTTTTTATTCTTTTTCAGGCATCCCCTGTGTTTATAAGTAAGTTCCTCTCTGCGTAAAGTGAAGATGATGGCATCACGCCATTGGGTGTGTGTAAAGGGGTATGTGTGAGACCCATTTCTGCAGTAAGAGTTTACGGGTCAAATAAAGAGACCGTGTCCTCAATAAATGCATTTTGTCAGGTAGTACACCCTCTGCAATAATACCTAATAGGCTAGTTTGGGGTCCATGAGTACCTGAGTGGAGCACAAGGAGTTCAAGGTATCAAAAATAGATTTCCAATAATGGTGTAATTTTGGGCAGTGCCACAACATATGTATAAAGTGTCCCTGTGTCTATGGCACATCTAGGACACAGTGGGGATAATGCTCTTCCCCAGGAGTAGAGTTTCAATAGAGTATAATGTATTCTATGTAGTATGAACAATTGAGTAAGGTGTGAAGGGGATAGAGACTTTTGGTAACATTTCAAGGGCATGGGTCCACTCCTCATCTTCCAATGGTACTATGTCCTGTTGATAATTGATAAAGCTATTCACCTGAGTCCTGCCATTGACCACTGTCTGGAGGGCGGAATATATGTCCCCTATCAACCCCCGTTTAGTACAGGTTGTGGAGATTGCCATAGATAATACTGTAGAGGGGTTATATTTAAACTGAAATGTGGACCCTTGACTCTGCATCGCATGAAGCTGTTGCAAATATTGAAAAAAAAAAAACATTTGTGGGAAAGCTGATAGCGGGTAGCAATGATATTAAACGTTAACACATCACTCTCATGTATTTCATAAACTGAATACCAGCCCTTTTCCAATTCTCAAATCCCTCCAGTTTTTCCAATTCTGGGAAGCAAGGGTGATTCCATAGCGACATGTGCTTAGTATAGCCGGTATGTCTAGTAATATCCTGTAGTGTGGTCCATAATTTATGTACCAGGTGAAACGTTGGATAAATACGCTTCACTTGAAAATGGTGAGCCACTACCAGCTGTACAAGTGGAGCTATAGGGAGTTGTGACAGAATAATACCCTGTATGGGATCATGTAAATTTTACTTCATTCCAGCCATACTAATATTGTAGCTGGGAAGCTATAAAATAGTCTAGTGTTAGGTACTGCCAATTCTCCCCCATCCTTCAGGAGCTGTAATGGCTAATACAAAAGGCTTCTTGAACAAAGTAAAATATAGAAGATAAACCGCCTCTTATTATTATTATTATACAGTATTTATAAAGCGCCAATAGTTTGCTCAGCGCTGTACATTACAAAGGGGGACAGAACATGTGACAGAACAATACCAATACAATGCAAAACATGAGGGGATCGAGGGCCCTGCTCTTTCGAGCTTACAATCTAGGAGGGAGGGGATGGTGGCACAGGAGGAGATAGCTGTGGGGGATGGAGTGGTAGGAAGAGTGGAGGAGGTCAGCAAGTTAGCAGGGGGTGGGGTAGGCTTCCCTGAAGAGATGGGTTTTCAGGGTGCGCCTAAAGGAGAGGAGAGTAGGTGATAATCTGATGGGTTGGGGCAGGGAGTTCCAGAGGATGGGTGACACCCTGGAGAAGTCCTGGAGGCGGGCATGGGAGGAAGAGACCAGGGAACTAGAGAGAAGGAGGTCTTGTGAGGAGCGGAGTGTGCTTGCTGGGCGGTACTTGGATATTAGGTCAGTGATGTAGTTCGGGGCAGTATGGTGGACAGCTTATGATCCTTCTAAACCTGTCTGCAGGAAAAATCCACACCATTAGCCACTAAAATGGATACTCCCCTGGAATTTGAGGTGTATGTTGAATGGTATTGGATATGATATTGGTTCCTTTTCAAATAATGTAAAGTGTCTGGGTGGAGATGAGTTTCCTGCAAGCAGATCAAAGAAGGAGAAAACCTTTTGAGGGTAGTAAACTTAGCCAGCCTCTTAGAGGGGGACGCTCAAGTCTCAACTATTCCAAGAGTATCATTTGGTGGACTCGTGTTGGAAGTCATGAAAATCAAAAACAGGATTCCATCCGCCCCCAGCAGGCAGATACTAGATAAGGTCAAAAAGAGTCCGACAGTAAATGTTCAATACAAAGAGCAGAAAGTCCTCATGGAACCTTCCGTTATCAGATCTCCTCCGTGTACATCATAGGGCAAAGAGGCATCATGCTCTGGTAAGCATTGGTTGATGCTGACTGGCAAAGTCTCATGAACTGCACGATAAAAAATGGTTGTGAAGTTCACAAATCAGAAAAAAAAATTGTAGAAGAAAAAAATAAAATGTAACCTGAGAACCAGTCAACCGGAACAGTAGAGTAACACAACAATTCGCTCCATGTGGGAGCCACTACTTGGGGGGCCTTGTGACCAGGAAAAAAACTATGAGCGCACCTATGCAGAATGCACACCATAGCCCACATAACAAGGACAGCTTTTGCCCAGACCCAGGCGATAACCTGACACATAACCTGCCCATGATTTAGACAGGCAGGTTACATTTCTTGATAGAGCTATACATTTCTTGATAGATCATAAAGTGGTATCGGGCCTCAGCAGACAATAGGATGGTCAGGTGGAATGAGGATATTGCCTTGGTCGCCGGTAGGTATCCAGCCAGTGGACAGCAGCAGCTGGTTATTCAAAAAAAATTAGTACCCTGAGAAACTATAGCGATCACATGATCACTGGGAACTTCATTTGCGGGTGGGGAGCGCTGTGTTAGTACAGCCAGAGCGACGTACCCTCCGCCGCTTTTCCTGTAGCTGACGCATGTCCACAGTACATTGCGGGTGGTTGCCAAGCGGATAAATAAAATGTGTAATTCTGTTCATCCAGGTTATGTTCTAGACATCTCTGCCAGATACTGTGCAAAGCCATGGTCATTTATTTTTCTTTACAAAAGTTAAAGCCATGCAGCTTAGTCAAAAGTAGAAGGAACAGTAGCTCAGTGATGATGCTCATTCCACTAGTCTCTAAATTGCATTCGTTAGGCCAATGTTGCATCCCCCCCACCTCTTATAGTCTGATGGCTGATGTGCTGGTAACTTCAGAATGCCATCTCAAAGACTGTTTGCGGTACTGTTTGAAAACAGGTATTGGGGAGTATTATCAAATAGTGGTGCAAGAACAAGCTTGCTGCACTCTTCTGAACATAAAAAATGAAGTAGATACTGCCCTTAGAATAATAAAGCGGTGAGAATAGTCTGCTTCCTGTTTTGTGTGGCTGTGACAGATACAACGGAGAGACATACAGACTGCTAATTTTTTTGCGCAAACATCGACTTGCTTATGTCTGGGGGGGGAAAAAAAGCAGACATAAGCAAGCAAATGTTTTAACCAAACCTGCATTTTGTGTGTGTGTGTTTTCCTCCTAATATTTTGTCCTCTATGTTACAGCAAGTGGAAGTAGAAGGGCAGCAGTGCATGCTTGAAATTCTTGATACTGCTGGAACAGTGAGTAAACTGCTTTTTATTTTTAATTTTTTTTCTCTATACCTACCATATTAACATTAATGAAAACTAATAGAATATTTTTGCTGTGTTTGCACATTATTACAATCATTGTTTTATGTTCTCCATGCACTTCAAGGTACTGTACAGTCTTTAGGGTAGTAAAATATACATGTGGTTTCCAAGTAAACTGTTTTGGTAAAAATTATGTTGCACCTCCAAAAGCACTTGACATCAATAGCTTTGACCACTGCCTTTACTTCTCAGACTCATCCTTAACTCCTTCAGGAGTTGTTCCCTCCTCTTTTATCTAGGAAGGAAATCTCTGCTGGGTTTATGGAGGAAATTGCAGTTTGTTAGCCGACAGAGTTCATTTCTAATTTCCTTTAGCTGAAGCTACTTTTTCAGTCAGCGGAGGATGTAGAAGAACATACCTTATCCTTGTTTGATGAACTGGTAAATGAGGAGTGTCAGCCTGCTAATTTTAAGTCCATAACTTAATGTTACTAAACCCAGGACCCTGCATTCACGATCTGGTCTCCCACAGTACACACTACATGGAAATATAATTTTAGTAAATATAAACTGCTAAATACTCTTATCAGCAGTTATAGTAGTCTTGTGACTTCTCTCAGTTTTCAGCAGAGCCCTGTGCTGATCACATGTACTCTCCCAAGAAAAAAAAAACCTTTCTAGCAATACACACCAAGCTGAGCATGTGTAGAGTGTCTCCACATGATATGTCTCATCAGGAGATAAAAGGGGGGCACTGGAAGAATGGGAGGATCAGAGAATAAAGGATCAAACATCCTTTTTACACAATACAGAGGATTAACCCCTTAGTTAGTATAACAAGCATGCTTTATTGCATATAAAGACTGATTTTACAGTTGTGGGTTTAGTAACACTTTAAGGATACCATTTCTGTGTTTTTTGACACAATGCCTAGACCTAGAAAACCTCAATCAACCACATCCAAGACTACCAAACCTAAGTTCTCTTAGGAGCTCCTATCTTGTTAAAACCTTTTGTGAACACTCACTATTGAAACTATTTTTTTTTTTGGGTTTTTTTTTAGAGCAGAATCCGGAATCTGTAGTACAGTTAAAATCCACATTGACCACCCAGAGAGTATTGTGGGTCCCCCCCCCCCACAAAAAAAAGGTGGAGTTACTTTTTAAAGATATGTGCACTGGTGGTTCAGAAAAGGAGGCCTGATGATTGGCAGGTTATAAGAGGGCTGAATTAACATTTGTCCCAACCTCCTGAAGGTTACAGTATAACCCAAATTTCTAAAAAGAAATATTATCCTCCTAAAAAGATTTTATGGTATGTGCATATTCTTATTTTAACCTTCGGCCTCATGCACACAGCCATAATTTTACTGTGTATTGGAGCCACAGCTGCAGTGCATTTTTGCACATAGGAATGCATTGCAGAAAACGCAGTGGATGCATATATTCCTTGCGGGAATCACATCTGTTCCCACACCCACAACCACCCGCTGCCAAATCGCGCTGCTCTTACGAGATGCTCGGGGCTGCCATTCATTCAGAGTGGCATTTCTATGCATCTCAGCCCGCATCGTGTTTTTGGGTGCGGGAACCGCAGGGAAATCACATGGTCAAAAAATACCATGCATTTTCTCTGAGACCATATTCTTAAAAAGATGCAGGCACGGCAGCCCATTCAAATGAATAGGCTGCTGTGTCCGCATTTTAGTGGGCCACATGGCCCACACAAGTGTGAACCAGGGCTTAGATATGTTACTTATTTACTTTAAAAGAGGTCACTCTCAGTACAAACTCTTAATAATCATTTCTGAATTTTGTTCATTATCTCTAGTTTCTGTAAAAGGATGTAAATGCACACAATCGTTTAATGGCTCCTGTGACTTCAGGTGGTAAGCGCAATTCCTTGCCCTTTCCAATAACTTTTGAAAGCAGCATACAGCTTCCAAAACAAGTGTACACGAGTATGGCAACATACAGCTATTCACCTGTATTGGTGGCACATAGCTCCTCGAGCGTGGGAAATCGCTAGGGATTTTGCACTTGAGGACACAGGAAAGTCTTTGCATGAGGCCTAGAAAAACAATGAAAAGTGATTTTTAATCTTGATGATCAATGCCTTTTATATGTAATGTTGGCGCATCTGTACTTAAAAAAAAAAAATAATAAAAAACCCTGTCAGTCTCCTGTGTTTTCCTGGCTCACATTCATTGTACCATTGATGGATGTGCAGTTCATTTTTCATAGGAAACTGCAGGTTTGAAGCCCTGTAGTCAACCTAGGACATGCCAGGATGGCATATCCCACACTTCAGCCTTCCATTTCATAATTCACAGTAGCTCTTGTTCAGAGGCTGGTGATGTCTAGTGATACTCAATGTACTTAGTATAGTTTCCTTCCCCATTCCTCAAAACACTTAGTCATGTGACCACGCATCTGGGCTCTTTCTGATTTACAAATACTATAAAAAGGATGTTTAGAAACTTAGTTTTATCCCATCAATAGAATAGCAAATAAAACATTTAGGTGTTGCATTAAGATGTGGTGCAGGTTAGGAATTTGCATACTCTTTAAAGTGGAACTTCACTTTCTCAATCAACATTGTCTATTTTTAATCCTCATGCTGCTACCATTGATAAATGGATAGGAGAGTATATCCTATTTGCTTGTTTTAAATTTTTTTTTTTTTTTAATATGTCTTAAGTTACTTTCTGGTTTCCATGCCTAGGCAAATGTCATACATCCCAGCAGTCTTCAGAAGGGGAGAGTTTTCAGCTCAGCCAATGCCAGAGCTAAGAGCAGATGGATTCCAGGAAGTAAATGCTACATTATTAATCTGCCCTTACTCAAGATGACCACTGCCAGAAATTCCAGGGGGTGTTTTTCAAAATGATTTCTAAGCAAAATAAATCATGGAGACAAGTTTGCTTTGAATATTAACAATTTAAATAGCATTTTTGGTTTGTGGTGCTCAGATGCAGTGCAGTTTCACTTTAACTCTGGGAATGGGTGTAAGTTAGCAAAAAAAATCTTTTAGCGAATTTAGTATGTACCCAGACAAACCCAGGTACCCTTCATTTACCACCCACTACATCTGTACACTTCTGTCTCTTACCACCTTTAGTGCCTGTACCCTCCATTCTGTCACAACCCACTGCACCTATACCCTGCCTTTCACCACTGCAACTGTGAATTTCACAAACGCCCCCTCTCTTAACAATAACTTACTTGCTCTTGGGGGGAAATTATATACGTGAGCAGAGGTTTTCAAAATCCGTGTAAAAAAAATGCTGCAATTTCTGTTTATTTTAATTCGGTGTGATGCTAATAAGCCTGGTGTTTTTAAAGCTTTACTACATGTGGTTTATAGGCAGTTTCATTAAATATGGTAGTCTAGTTTTTTTATTGTTGTGTTTTTGTTTTTTTTTTTTCTTGGTAGTATCTAACAAACCTTTTTCTTTGTGATATTTCTAGGAGCAATTCACCGCAATGAGAGACTTGTATATGAAGAATGGTCAGGGATTTGCACTAGTATACTCTATCACTGCACAGTCAACATTTAATGACTTGCAAGACTTGAGGGAACAGATTTTACGAGTAAAAGACACGGAAGATGTAAGGATTTTATTTTTCTTATTGGTCTGGCTTCTAAGGGTTTTCCAGAACTTACTGTGCATATTTAAGTCTACAGTTATTCTGCATGAGGTTGTCGTTTTAGTTTTTTTTGTCCCAATCTTTCCTCTTGTTCTACCTCTGTTAAAATGGCTGCATGATCACATTCTTTTTTTCATTTTGATGTCTTGTAGTTGACTAAGCCGACTCAGTAGTCAGATCTGCAACTATTTTCACACTTTAAACAGTAGATGACTGTAAACCTGGCCTCATGTACATTTAAAAGTAGCTTGCCAGAATGAAATCCTGACATGTCATTGCTCATTTCTTTTGAAGGTGTATGCTGTAGGGCTGTAATACTTATTCTTCCTGTTCTGCTTGATCAGTTACTGACCTGGATGAAGTATATTTTTATTGCGTGTCTGGGCACCTAATGTGGATGTCCTGATATGTCTCTACATGGTAAGGCTCTGCCCTGGAACAAGCATGTTTGTAACTGGTGTCTGGGCAAGCTAATATGGATTTTGTTGCTCTGATTGGGATGATGACTTTAGAGCATTCACCTTCAAAAACAGGTCGGTAGTGGAATCTCCTATACCTCTCCTACCCTTACAGGTTCTTTATTTTCTGAAAGCAGAAACTTTGAGAAACTGTGGCAGTTACCATTTATTGAATCTGTTGTCAGTAAAAAATACACTCAAATTCATTTTAGGGTACACAAACACAATATAATATATTTTTGGCAGAAATATAAGAGATTTGGGTTGAGTAAATGGATACCAGTTATTTCAAGTCCTAAAATTGAGAACTTGTGAAACAAAAAACTGATGCTAAATGATGGTTTAAAAGGCCATACAGCTCACTATTTTAGCGTTATCAGTGAATTAAGGTCCTAGAATTATTGCGCTCACTGGCATGTGTGGTGATGTCTGTGTATCCCAATCGAAACCTGCAGCTGCTGCACCTGCTTGCGATTTTTACCGAATTCAGCTGCCTGCACAATGAGACATACTTTATTACAGGTAACCATTGTCAGGAAAGAATAAGAATTTGTCAAATGTATAATCCATTTTGGAAACAGTACAGCAGTCTTTAATATATCTCGAGAGATGCAAATAATACAGTACAAAATGTGGTGCTATAAAAAAAGGAATACTCACAATAAAATCACAAACTGCATAGTGCAGAGAATTAATAATGAAGAAACAATATAGTGTTGGTTTAGGACAGACAATGTACATTAACAAAGTATGCCAAACAGAAGTAAATTATTAAAGTACAAACGTAAAGTCCATACAGAAAGCGTGCTGGTAGTGATAGAACCTTGTTATCAATCTCCTTCTTTCTTTGTTCCCCCTCCTTTTGAGTTTATGATCAATACATGTTATTTCACTTGTGCTTGGCATATTTTGTTTATGCACGTTGTGTGTTTTTAAACCACCACCATATTGTTTCTTCATTATTGATTTTTCTGCAGTATGCGTCATTTGTGATTTTATTGTGATTATATGCTTTTTAGCCCAATTTATTTTATAGAACCACACTTTATACTGTATTAAGGAAAAACAATTGGCAAGACAGCTGTATAGATTTGTTTTTATTTTTGTTTTAGCTTCAGCTTTAAGAAGTTTGTATAGTATTTTCACTGTTTACTGCAAACATGTAATATTTTAATTAACACGTAAAATATATCTGTTTGATGCAAATAGTTTATTTAATGTAAATGCTTTAACAACTTTTTTGCCAGCTACACGATGGTTATGCATTATTTTTCCATCTCTGTGAATGAATGGTGCAGCTGTGGTTAGTTAGATACTCTAATGGGGGAGATATATATATATATATATATATATATATATATATATATATATATATTAGTGTCCTAATCCAACAAGGCGCAAACAATGCACAATCTGCCTCAAAATCCAGAGCACCAGGCTCCTTCTCTACCCCACTGCCTTTGCCTGAGTTGGATCCCTAAATGCCTGTTTTAGAAGAGGTAGGCATGTTCACATGTGCTGTGTTTGTGGCTCAAAGACTGTCCAGCTGAAGCTACCTGTAAGACGCCTCACATGTATGCCCTTTTGAAGGAGAATGCCTCCTTGGTGAAACACTTGACAAATTCATGAAAGATGTCAGAGGAGAAAAGGTTCTTCTTCCACAGTGGAAACTTCCAAAATTCTGTTATTTTCGACACAGTACTTGGAACATGAAATCCACCAAGTCTGCTTCAAGGCCGTGCTCGCAATGAAGTGGCATCTGTTACAGTTTGCCTTTCTCTGAGTCACAGATGACCCAGATTTGTGGGCTTAATTGGTTTTGAAAGGGGTACAGAATAGTTAGAATCTCTCCAACCAAAAACTAATCGATAGCAGTCAGATTTTCAAAATGCCCTGAACCATCTCTTCTCCCAGGGAGTGGTTGATTGAGTACCTCTTTAGGACATGTTCCCAGGATTCTGTTTAAGCCTGTTCACAATACCAAAACCTATAAGCGTATTTGTCCTATCCTGGACTTAAAATCCATAAACCTTCAAGTTCCAAGGTTTCATGGATTTCACAAGGTCCATTATTGCTGCTCTGAGACCAGGAAAATATCTGGTATCTGTAGATATCCAAGATGCCTATCGGCATATTCCCATTGACCTACCTCATCAGTTCTTCTGTGCTTTGCAGTAGGAAACAAACACTTCCAATCTGTCGGGTTGCCATTCGTCATATTCTTTGCTCCCAGAGTATTCACAAAGGTACTTGTACCCTTTCTTGATCTTATCCAGGACATTCAGGACTTGTTTCCTTTCCAGTTATCTGCAAACGTTTTCAAAACGATTCAGATACTTCAGGCTTTCAGATGGGTAATCAAACTTCTAAAAATCTGCTCTCCGACCTTATTTTTTTCCTGGAATACTGGGGCCTCATTCTACACACAGCCCAAGTGAAAGTCTTTCTTCCAGCAAACAGGTCTCTCTCAGATCTCACGCTCCTGCCTTTGGATAAAAAAAAAAGTCTGAGATTCTACATTTTTGTTTTGGTCCTCATGGTGGTCTCCTTCGAAGCTGTTCCCTTCACCCAATTTCATTCAAGGCCTCTCCAACAGAACATCTTGTTGACTTGGAACAAACAAGTATTCTCCTTTTGATGTTTCTACTGTATTTTCCTATCGAGTCAAGCAAAAAACTCCCTAGCTTGGTGGATTTCCAACCCAACATTGACAATGGGGAAGTAGTTTTTACCATACCACTGGAAGGTGATAACAGATGCCAGTCTCTCAGGCTAGTAGGCATGTTCTGATCTCTCACAGTTTAGGGAATAAGGTCACCAGAGGCAGCCAAGCTCCCCATCGACATCTTGGAGCTCAGAGCAATAAAAATGGCTCTGCACCACTGAACTCCTGTTTTTCAGGAACACAGAGCTGACACCAGATGCTATGATTATTCCCAGAACTCGGTTCAGCCTCATGTATGCTCTTCCTCCAGTGTGAATTCTGGCTCGAATAATCTGCAAAAAAAGCAAGAGCAGAAACTAGTAATCCTCATTGCATCATACTGGCGCAGAAGAACCTAGTACACAGCCATATGCAAGACTTTTAGGACATGACTCCTTGCTGCTTCCAAACAGGCCAAGTTCCCCTCTTCCATCCTACTTCTCAGCCACGGTTCTAAAGCCATGGCTTTTTGAAGCCCAGGTCTTGAGAGATGAGGGGGGGTTGTCATTTCCATGTTGCTAATAGCAAGGAATGCCACTCCAGAAACATCTACTATTGTACCTGGAAATCCATCTTTGTCTGGTGTGAACACAGGCATGCTGATCCCAGAGATTATTCTGTGTGCTTTGCATTCTGGCCTTCTTACAATTGGGACTTGACCATTACTTTGTACTCTCAAAGGACAGGTGTTGGCCTTGTCTGTTCTTTCCCCAAAACGTCTGCTTTGACTTATCTTATACAGACCTTTTATTCAGGTGTTTCTTGGACCAACCTACCCTTACAGCCTTAGGAGCTGCAATTTGGTTTTCTCTGCCTGGCAGAAACGCCTCAGGGAACTCTTGGATGGTCTCTCCTGCAAGGTCGCCTTCTTGGTGCTTATCACGTCTGTCCGTTAATGTCCCTTGCAACGAGTAATATCTCATTCTTCACAAGGAAAAAGTAGTCTTTCTCCTAAGACCCTCCTTTCTCCATAAGGTGGTGTCAGTCTTCCATATCAATGAAAATATAATCCTTTCCTACTTGTGCCCTGCTCCAAAACACACAAAGGAGATTGCTTTTGTACTGTCTGGACTTGGTCAGAACCATCAGATTCTGCCTTAAAAGCTACATCTTCTATCAGTAAGACAGACTCCCTGTTTGTCCTGCCCTCAGGACCTTGCAAGGGACCTTTTGCTTCAAAATCCACCTCCGCTAGGAGGGTAATACAGTTCATCTCAGGAGCTTTTAAAGCCACCACCTACAGGTGAAATTAAAAAAATTAGAATATCATGCAAAAGTTAATTTATTTCAGTAATTCAACTTAAAAGGTGAAACTAATATATGAGACTCATTACATGCAAAGCAAGATAGTTCAAGCCGATTTGTCATAATTGTGATGATTATGGCTTACAGCTCATGAAAACTCCAAATCCACGATCTCAGAAAATTTGAATATTGTGAAAAGGTGCAATATTCTAGGCTCAAAGTGTCCCACTCTAATCAGCTAATTAAGCCATAACACCTGCAAAGGGTTACTGAGCCTGTAAATGGTCTCTCAGTCTAGTTCAGTAGGAATCACAATCATGGGAAAGACTGCTGACCTGACAATTGTGCAGAAAACCATCATTGACACCCTCCATAAGGAGGGAAAGCCTCAAAAGGTAATTGCAAAAGAAGTTGGATGTTCCCAAAGTGCTGTATCAAAGCACATTAATAGAAAGTTATGTGGGAAAAAAAAGGTGCACAAGCAGCAGGGATGACCGCAGCCTGGAGAGAATTGTCAGGAAAAGGACATTCAAAAGTGTTGGGGACTTTCACAAGGAGTGGACTGAGGCTGGAGTCAGTGCATCAAGAGCGACCACACACAGACGGATCCTGGACATGGGCTTCAAATGTCGTATTCCTCTTGTCAAGCCGCTCCTGAACAACAAACAACGTCAGAAGCGTCTTACCTGGGCTAAAGAAAAACAGACCTGGTCTGTTGCTCATTGGTCCAAAGTCCTCTTTTCTGATGAGAGCAACTTTTGCATCTCATTTGAAAACCAAGGACCCAGAGTATGGAGGAAGAATGGAGAGGCACACAGTGCAAGATGCTTGAAGTCCAGTGTGAAGTTTCCACAGTCTGTGTTGATCTGGGGAGCCATGTCATCTGCTGGTGTTGGTCCACTGTGCTTCATTAAGTCCAGGGTCAACGCAGCCGTCTGCCAGGAGATTTTGGAGCACTTCATGCTTCCTTCCGCAGACAAGCTTTATGGGGATGCTGACTTAATTTTCCAGCAGGACTTGGCACCTGCCCACACTGCCAAAAGCAGCAAAACCTGGTTCAATGACCGTGGGATAACTGTGCTTGATTGGCCAGCAAACTTGCCTGACCTGAACCCCATAGAGAATCTATGAGGCATTGCCAAGAGAAAGATGAGACCTGAGACCGAACAATGCAGAAGAGCTGAAAGCCACTATTAAGCATCCTGGTCTTCCATAACACCTCAGCAGTGCCACAGGCTGATAGCTTCCATGCAATGCCGCATTGAGGCAGTAATTCCTGCAAAAGGGGCCCAAACCAAGTACTGAGTACATATGCATGCTTATACTTTTCAGAGGTCCGATATTGTTCTATGTACAATCCTTGTTTTATTGATTGATTGCAAGTAATATTCTAATTTTCTGAGATTGTTGATTTGGGGTTTTCATGAGCTGTAAGCCATAATCATCATAATTATGACAAATCATGGCTTGAACTATCTTACTTTGCATGTAATGAGTCTATCTCATATATTAGTTTCACCTTTTAAGTTGCATTACTGAAATAAATGAACTTTTGCACAATATTCTAATTTTTCGAGTTTCACCTGTAGTTTTGCTGTCGATTCCTTTTCTTCAAAATACGACCAGGTGGATGTTCAATTTTCTGAGGATGACTCTTTCCATTACAAGGGTTCTTACAGCAGCATTCTGAATTGTCAGTTGACCTTTGTTGTTGTTGGGCCTGTAGGCTCAGTTCTGGTTGCCTTGCAGTTGCCCACCTTTCTTTATTTCTTGGGGATGTTCCTGTATTTTTCAATATCAAGCCTTTGTGTTGTACAAGTATGATAAAAGGAATTTTGACTTGGGTGTAAACTTTGTATCTTGGAGTATAGTACATTGCACACGTCACCCTCTGTTGCTGTGTTTTTCTGCATTGCTTGCTAATGACTCGCTGAGGATGTCCAGGGGATGTGTCCTCAAAAAACGGTTTGCCAGTGACCAATCACCTGAAGGTACCAGCCTTATAACTCAGGGTCTATGAATGTCAAGCATGTCTCCTGTACTGTACTGCTAAAATATAGAATTTGCCCCGGAATCAAATGTTTTTTTTTTTCTCAGTCAAAATTCTGATTTCAGCTCTTCCCTCAAATGTTCTATGCTGATATAGCTTAGTAACTGTCACATTCACCAGCAGAAACTTACTCACCCAGACTTGTATTGCAGCAGAGGTGAGGGAGTATGTCAGACAAGTTACTTTTACGAAGAGCTGATTACTGAGTGTACTAGGTCTAACACTGGTGCTTACAGGACTGCAGAGTCAAATTTAGACACTCTGGACAGCTGCAATAAGGGCATCCAGGAGATAATGTTGGTTGTTGATGCATTCAACTGAGCTTGAAATAGAAATGGTTTTCTTCATTGTTGAAACTTATGAATAGTTTTATTTCAGTATGTTAAATACTAAATCTTATTTTTTTTCTCCTGATAAAGGTTCCCATGATTTTAGTGGGCAATAAGTGCGATTTGGAAGATGAGCGGGTAGTTGGCAAAGAACAGGGACAAAACCTAGCCAGACAATGGAACAATTGTGCCTTTTTAGAATCTTCTGCTAAGTCTAAGATCAATGTAAATGAGGTTAGTAGTGATTTGATATGATATTTGTATTCATTATTTCTGTATGTAAATTTTTTTTATACAGTTTTTATGTAATTTTAAAGTTTTAGGGAGTGTCACCAGCAGTGCTGCCAATTAATATGTAGCCTGACCTTTGTTATAAGCAAAACGTTCCTATTTCCTCTTTCTGGTGTGAAGCCAACTCTCTAGGAAGCTGGCATCATTTTGAAACCCTTATGCAGCACTTCAGCGACCTTGTTCCACAGGGCGGCACTTTTTATAAAAACTTATTACACACTTTTACCTATTGTCTATAGCAGTATTACTTAACCTTTTTTTCAGTCAAGACACCCTTTAAAATTATGCACAATCTCGAGGCACCCCGTTCTAAAATGTGAAAAACTAATAGTTTTACATAATGTAGCAGCGTTCACACATGTGGGACACCCAACGTAAGAGGTTATTTATTCTTCCAAAGCAAACACACTTTTGCATACTGGTACTGGCTACTATTCCAGTGCTTCTCTTCTCCCTTGGTTTCTCTCTATTGCATCTAACATGCAGTGCTGAAAGAGAGGGGCAAAAAAAGGATGCTGTGAAGGTGCCCGGTATCCTGTTTATCGACCAATGATGTAATTGGTTGTTAGGATGCTGGTGGCTAGAAGGCGGTAATTGTGCAAAATTAAAAGCCTGTAACTTTGTGCAATTAAAAGACAGGCCTGATCCACCCACTGCCTTGTATATAATTTTTGGGCAATTTTTAGGCATTTTGCCAAGGCACCCTGGTTGAAAAGGCTGGTCTATTGAGACAGTAGTTCATACTGCTGCTTACAGGGAAAATGGGCACTAGGCACATAGGAAACTGAAGGTCAACCCCCCAGGGCCTTAATCGCTCCCACCTGCTCAGGTACAGTTAAAGTGGCCATAGATGGTTAGAAAATCAAAGAACGATCGTTTAAAAATAAAAACAACCATTCAATAGCACATTTTATTCACCCATCAGTATATCAAAGTTTTCCACCTATCAGCCACGTATTTCCATTAGTTTTCAGCATTAAAAGTACTGTTTTTCGTTCAATCCGTGTTAAATTTATTTTTTTCGATCAATTTCACTACTCATATTTAGGTAATCGTTCGAACAACATTTTCCAACATGACTGTTCATTTTTTTTTCCACCATGAAGAACTGGACATTGATATCAAATTCACATTAACCATTACAATATCTAATGATCAGTTCTGTTGAATTTTCAATCAATATCCCATACATCTGTGGCCAGATTTGGTGTCCTCAGCAGAATGGATGTTACTTTCCTCCTTTTTTGCTTGAATTAAGGAATATTCATCCATTAGCTACTGATAGATTCAGGCCGGATATTAGAGGAGGATATTTGAGGTCCCGGATATTTAAGTGCAGATTTTCACATTTCATTAAAAGCATTGTACACCTTCAGTTTGTTTTTCTTTCATATGTATTACTGCAGTTACAGTCCCTGTCTACTGTTTAACTATCACCTGCACCAGTCCTAGACTGAGACCAAGGATTATGGGATAGATAGTTTATTCACAGGTAGTGTCAGTTTTCAGACCACCGAGAGGTCATGCATTAACCCCTGCGTGACTAGGGTCAAAACAAACCTTAACGCTCAGACCCAATTTTGCAACTTGACAATTAGTATAACTGTACATCACAACTACTAAGTGTATCCAGGTGGATTGTACCTTGTTTGTTTTCAGGACAGATTGGGCATCACCTGATTTTGTTTTATTATGAATGGAAAAAAATTGAATGGAAAAAAAGTGTAGAATATTTTTTTTATTTTAGTCTTATATAGTTTTATGACATTACACCACCCTACAAAGTAAATTTGCCTACTCCTGACCATCACGGTGATACTGCATACCCATTGTAGGGCCAAGAAACAATAATATGCATTCTTTTTTCTCTTATCTAAACACACTGACATGCTAGCACTTAGGCCTCGTTCACACCATACAGAGAAGGAAATAAGTATTTGATCCCCTGCTGATTTTTTATGTTTTGCCCACTCACAAAAAAATGATCAGTCTAAAAATCGAATGGTAGGTGTATTGTAACACTGAGACATGCATTTCTTTTGAATTTTTTGTTGCTATTCTGTCTCTTAAACAAATTATGCACAGATTTGCATGTTCATGAGGGAAATAAGTATTTGATCCCCTATCATTCAGCAGGATTTTTGGCTACCAGGTGTCTTCCATACAAGTAACAAGCTGAGATTAGAAGCAGTCTCCTAAAGGGAGTGCTGCTAATCTCATTTTGTTACCTGTATAAAATTAAAGACACCTGTCCACAGGAGCAATCAAAGAATCAGATTCCAAACTCTCCACAATGGCAAAGACCAAAGAGCTGTCCAAGGATGTCAGGGACAAGATTGTAGATCTACACAAGGCTGGACTGGGCTATCAATGTATCGCCAAGCAGCTTGGTGAGAAGGTGACAACAGTTGGTGCAATCATTTGCAAATGGAAGAAACACAAAACAACTGTCGGTCTCCCTAGGTCTGGTGCACCATGCAAGATCTCACCTCGTGGAGTGTCAATGATCATGAGAACAGTGAGGAATCATCCCAGAATACATGTGAGGATCTTGTCAATAGTCTCCAGGCAGCTGGGACCACAGTCACCAAGAAAACAATTGGTAACACACTACGCTGACAAGGATTGAAATCCTGCAGTGCCCGCAAGGTCCCTCTGCTCAAAGTTCATGTCCAGGCCCGTCTGAAGTTTGCCACTAAACATCTGAATGATGCAGAGGAGGACTGGTTGAAAGTGTTGTGGTCAGATGAGGCTAAAATCGAGCTCTTGTTTGGAGGTGGAGGAATGCTGCCTATGACCCCAAGAACACCATCCCAACTGTCGAACATGGTGGTGGAAACATTCTGCTTTGGGGGTGTTTTTCTGCTAATGGGACAGGACAACTGCACCGCATCAAAGGGACGATGGACGGGGCATTGTACCGTCAAATCTTGGGTGAGAACCTTCTTCCCTCAGCCAGGGCATTGAAAATGGGTCATGGATGGGTGTTCCAGCATGACAGTGACCCAAAACACACGGCCAAGGCAACAAAGGAGTGGCTCAAGAAGAAGCACATTAAGGTCCTGGAGTGGCTTAGCCAGTCTCCAGACCTTAATCCGATTGAAAATCTGTGGAGGGAGCTGAAAGTTCGAGTTGCCAAACGTCAGGCACTAAACCTTAATTACTTGGAGAGGATCTGCCAAGAGGAGTGGGCCAAAATCCCAAAAGTTATGTTTTGTTAAGGGGATCAAATACTTATTTCCCTCATGAACATGCAAATCCGTGCATAATTTGTTAGACATGCATTTCTTTTGAATTTTTTGTTGCTATTCTGTCTGTGTTACAATACACCTACTATTCAATTTTTAGACTGATCATTCTTTGTGAGTGGGCAAACATTCAAAATCAGCAGGGGATCAAATACTTATTTCCTTCACTGTTTGTGCAGAAAAACTGATGGAAACATACATACAGATTTCACTTGCGGAACAGTTTACATCTGTTTTCATGCTCCCTTTAAATAGTTTTTGTATGCATTGCAGATTCCTGCACAGAAAAAAATCTGCACGTGATACTAGTTTTGCGGTGTGAACAGGGCACATAGAGAACAATTGATTTAATTGTGCCCCTGCAGAACGCTTGCAGAAAAACTAATTAATATAAATATAGTTCTGCGCTACCTACAATATGAATTCATAAACCCAAAATTATATAAACGGAACAATCTGAAATATTAACTGTGAATCATAAAACACAAAAGTCTCTGAATATTGATTCCTTCAGCTGTAATAATACTTCATATCATCTTCCTCATGTGATCAAATCCTCTACCAAAACACCAAATGTGCCCTCACCTGAAATTTTTGACCTCACAAAGTTAGGTCAGGACCTCGTAGAGAGGTCCCGTCCGACAATAGGTGTTTCACTGTGTCCGGAGGACACAGCAGGCACTGGATCGCGGTGCTGTGTGCTCCCAGGGAGCGCACACAAGCAGGGTGCGGGGAGGCCGTTTATAAACGGCCACCCGACCCTGCAGTGCCGTCGTCCGGCCGTTTATATACAATGGCCGGTCGGGAAGTGATTAAGTACTGTAGTTTGTTTTTGATATACACTGCTTGTGAGAGATTGTCCAGTATAGCTTGCAGAAAAACTGACATCTCTGCATCATTGTGTGAATGAGCCCTTACTCTAAATCTAAAACCTTTTATTCTTACCTAAAACACACTACCACTAACTGCCACTGATATTAACTCTGACACGAATACTCACACTAGCTGACATTTACACTGCCACTGACGCACTCAAACTAGAACAAGCCCTAATCTAGTTCATCTTTATTTTTTTTTAACAGACTTTCTTTTTACAGACTTCTCTAGTGAGGAGGAAATTATACATTGTATATTTTCCTGTGCTAGGATAGAAGTCTGTTTTTCTTCTTCAAAAAGGAGAAACCGCACAGGAATGGGCGATTGAGTGAATGATCACTGTGACAGCCTACAACAGCAATTTATATGTTCAAAAAGCTGGTTCTTTCGTTGCTGGATCATTAGAGACCCAGAGCTGTCAGCGACGGCATGGTTTCAGTGCTGGGAGTGTGTTTCCAGCAAAAACACAGGAGCACATATATGTGGCACCCAGAATTAAAGCCCACTTCCTGGACACTGCATATATGTGTGAATTGATCTTAAATCGATTATCCTATGCTGTACCTCTTGTTTGAACACAAACAGAAACTTTCAACACTGTAATGTGAAGATTTACCATAGGCTGTGTGTACAGGGCAACAAATGACACCATGACATTACATGATCAATGCACAACTTGTGAAGGCGAGAAACACAAGGTGCAAGTAGTAGGAAGATTTATTATGCCTTTCTGAGTTCTCCCTGTGACTATCTATTTGTGTTCCAATTAGCACAGGACTCAACTTTCAGTTCAGGACAGTTATCTGGCTAATACGTGCAGAATCATCTGGCCCAGAGCTG